TAACGGGTGAATTATTTTCAGAGTGAACAAACGTGAATAGAGAAAAATATTATGGATAAATTTGGTCGGCTATCAGTTTAAAGCGTCATATTTATTCTATACCCGAAGTAGCATTATGTAGTAACGAGGATTAGACCCTTAAAAAAAATAATATACAAAGTGATATGAGTTACTGTATGATATATATAGCCTTATAGTAGTAGATATTTCCATAAGTTGGCAGTCTTTTAACCGTCACATTTTTAAAATTACCTTTCTGTTCTGTCGAAAAATATGTTCTAGGTGATTGTCACCAACTTATGTCAACGTGAAAATCACCGCAGTCAAAGGAATAACGAAGAATGGTTTCAAGCTTGCGTGAAGTCCTCACTTCTGATAACTGAAAACTCCATCGGTGGTAGTACAAATTCATTGCATTTTTGATCATATTATATAACTTAAAGATAATCACCTGAATTATGAACTGCTTGAAGCTTGAAAAACATTAACTATTACCTCAAAAGCACTTTGTTAGCTTTGGGACCTGAGTACACCTTTCCTATTACCTTGGAAAGAAGTTATATTGGGTAGCAATGACGAATACAAGGTCATAAATCACAGCTACTTTCAACTGCTATTTGGCGTCCAGTTGGTTTTTGACCCTTTTCAGCTGTCAGTAAAACTGTATTCAACGCATTTACAGTGAAAAAGACTAAACATACAAACCTTTCCAGATCAGCTGTTCAGTATAATCAAATATAAGTCTATTACATAACCAACTGTTAAGATCCTAAATCATTCATAAATGAAATATCACACAAATTATCCCACTAGAATCAGATTCGTGGCTAGATAAACACAAATTATTATTTTCGATATTGATGGCACATATCCTCGATCTGAACCACCACCAATAAAAGGTTGATTTTGTAGTATTTCGTATGGTTACAGCTTGTGAAAATAAGTTACATAAACAAACTACCAGTCAAAGATAAATAAATATGCAAGCAAGCATATAAATTTATGAAGGATGACAGCAGAACTGGTGTTCTTATTACTGGACAGTAACCAAAAGGCAAAACAAGACAACACATCACTGATCAACGAAGAAAAAAAAGCAAATTGTGTGTTTTCCTTGATCAAATGTAACTAAGAGAAAGTAATTAGAAGGCTGCAGCTACAAACCAGCTAAACCAAAGACCTGATCAGTAGCTGGGTATTGTAGCTCAGTTAGTGGAGATCCAACAAAACCAAAGGCAGTTGGTCCGAACTTTATGGCGCCCTAGGTCTTCATTTCACCTCTATTTATCATTCAACATCAGTAACATCAGTCTGCCAAACCATGGCTCAATTTCACATTGGTTAAACACAAATAAATAATGTACTTGCTTTATTCTGAAATACAATTTTCTTCGCGATACAGAATTCTCAGTATGTGATATTGTATAAGTTTACACTTTGTGAAACATTTTTCATATATGTATCAACAATGGTGCCGGTTAACAATGCATAATAAAGAATAACAGGACTGTTGAAATGTTTAATAATTTCAGGGTCATGATAACTGTTCGCTGTTGCAAAGTTGATAGACTAGACTATGTTTAACATGATTTTCTTCACATAATACGCAAAACATTTAAAGCATGGTTGGGTTTTTGCATGCAGTTTTGCTGGCATAAAGTTGGATATATTTGTTTCTTGCCCGCCCTAAGGACAGACATAGAAAGAGGTGCGGACGCCGAAAATGCATTTACCAGCACAGTTAGAAGTTTACCACTCGCAGTACTAGCAGCGCTCAAAATCCTACGCAGTACAGCGTAATCCCTTTTCCAGAGTCCAGGAAAGAACAAGATGGAATAATAATTAAGTAAAGACAAAACATAGAAATTAATGAAACGTAAGAGTAGAGGATGAGTTATTCCAGACAGTTTGAGTTTCCTCATACAAAATGTCAAGCAAAAGATTTTCCCGAGAATCAGTAAGATGTGAGAAGACTAAGAAAGATCAGCAGAAGAGCGTAAGGCAAGATTGATCACACTTGATGCATTATCTACAACACAGCCATCTATTAGATAAGAGTCACGGAACTGAAGAAATCTACATAAGTCTTGTTCCAGTAAGATCCCTAAAACGTCTCCTTATACTAGGTGAATTTTCACATGACATAATCTAGTAATGCATAAACTTTAGGCCTTTTGTTTCCAACTTAACCAGGCAGTTAAGTCACTTAATACCAGTGTTATCCTTCGATTTGTGCACTTTTTGCTTGCCTCTTCTCAGTCTTTTTAATTGCGAAAAAGAAAGTCTATCAAACCTTCGAAAAATTATTTCAGCTGGGCAGCAAACATCAGGTCAAAATTTAGGATAAAATGTAAAATAGCGTAGATTGTGTCATCCAAAGTATCATTTCCAAATATCTCCCATTCTTTGTTTCGTAACATGCATTTGATTTTATGTATGTTGTCATGTGTAAAGCTCCTGCGAACAATCTTCTTAGATTGGTGTGTGCAAGTATTTTTCGGCAATTTGCCCTACATTTTCGGCGGAACACACGTAATGCAGTAATCCGAGATCACCAGGTTCAGTTACGAAAATCAAGTCTAATGTGGCATCAAAACGGGTTTAAAAACTGACAATGTTACTGTAACCAAGAAAAGACAGGAGGCTACAGTCGTAGGAGTTGAAATTACCGCAGTCAACAGACAAGTATAGAAAAGTCCTTTGAATTTGTCGGCGAATCTGGATAATTCAGGAGTCACGTAAGCACTGGTGATGTAAATGAATTCAAACATCTAAATGTTTCGGACAACAGTGAATAGTGATAAAGTATAGATTGTCATTAGAATAAGTGAAACATATCTAATTTGATGAGCACCACTGATTGTTGAAAAAGATGTCTACACCTTCACCATACTTATTCGTAGAACTACACTGATTCCCGCGAAACATTTTGAACTCATCTGATGAGAAGAAATTGTCATCATCAAAGTTGTGCAACTGAGTTTCTTGTGAAACAATCACACCAGTGTTACGATAAACATGAAAACATAGGAGGGATTGTAAATAGTCCATCTCACCCACTAGAGATCTGAAGTTCGAGCTGAGTATTTTAGTCATTACCATTTGATGTAGTTTAATTCGCCTTAAAGCACGCTGCTACCCACATGATGCCCTTTTTTCATCATATTTGTCAAATTCAAAGCGATAGGTTGATAACTTCAAACGTTCGCGTGAGTACTTGATACAGTTTAAGGTCACAATTAGACAACTTAGAAAAATTAAAACAAAGTTAACTTGGCGCAATATATAGGATGGAAAAATTTAGTAACTCAGAAGTTTAAGCAGGTCGTCGAAATAAACTCACTTGATTTCATAAAAACAGAAATTCAGACTTGAAATTGTCAAACGCTTTAGTGACGCATGTTTTGAAGATAGTGAGGAACGGAGGCGTAACTTTTGAGAGTAGACAACATTCCCAAGAAAATAAAGCACTTGAATCAATTTAGTTAAAGTCATAATAGATAATAAGCGAACTCGTATGATAAATGCAAACAAATGTACACAGTTTCCAAACCTCCTCATCAGAGTTTGCATTTCTCCAAGCTATAACATATAAGTCTCTTAATGAGGTTCTCAACCTGTACTTACGCTGAAAAATGAGATGTCATTTAATCGACGATAATAATCTAAAAAATCTTATCTCTTATACAACCACTATGTCACATACATGTCCATCATTTCTCTGAAAGACATATGCTTACAGTAGACGCATAGCACGTTAGGCACACTAGTGTCAGATATTTCCAAGATTTCATCAAGAGAAAGCCTCTAAGATGCACAACTGACCTGGTATCCTTTAGATTGACCGTTACACAAACACCGGCCACTGATTTACACCACCCATTAGAATGTTATCTACCCGACAACTCGGGCGAATTTAATGCAAATAATGCTCTTACTGAAGTTAAATAACAACTGTGTGCAAAGCATTAGTAGAAAAGGATGACATCATTTCATTTCACAAAACCTTCATCATCTGCACGTAGTCGAAATAAACTTGTAACCACGTTAGTTAGGTGCAGACAAATGACAGCAAGCCTTACTTGATTTAAGTTCTCTGCTTTTGGCATTCGTCAGAAAAGTATATCTACAAGCTCGACGGAACTGACGTCCCGCCTAAGATTCCCACCCGGTGGTGCGGTAGAAAACGTTACCACTGAGCTATCCAGGCCGTGACTGACCTCCTGTAGGAGTGGTTGAGGCAAATTGATCGGTCATTGGAAAGTAACCCACTTTATGTTGTCTTGTCTTTAGTGCTGACTGGATTCTATTGATCATTTTCTAATGTGACCACCAAGCTAGGAGACTCACCATCTCTAAGTAGTGACACAGATGTTAGGTGAATAGCAGAAATCGACAGGAAGCTTTGCTTTACCTAAATCTCGCTCTTTTTGGTACCTGTCAGCAAAGTGCATCTGCAATCAATATATAAACGTTACAATATATACAAGTTCTTGTTACATTAGTTAAAACGTTGAAGATGCAAAGAATGGACAAAAACAACTGAGGTATCTTACGAATAAATTCACTCAAACTGAACTAATATTTGTAAAAAGGTTATCTAAATTCTCTAGCAGAGGTGAAGAAAAGTAGAATATCTTGAAAGGCGCTTACGTAATCATACCGAGGTTTAAATCTACTTTCAGAATGACATTCTAAGTGCTAAGAAACATTTTATATCCTTTTACCACTTTATAGTCGACGCACTGAACTCTTTATTTTCAACTTACATTAGTTACTATCGAAGAAACAGCCACTTATTCATTTGCAGATATACTTATCCAAACTTATGACTGAAGTTATGATAAACATATATACAATACCATTTGGTTTTTAGAGGTTACCACTGAAATAATACTAAATAACTTTAAGCATTGTCAGAAGTTGACAAAGGTGAATAGCGTAGTTTACGAAAACATTTCAATGAATTTGCAAATCAATGAATTCTCTCAACAACTTACATGAGTTTTCGTTCCTGATTGAATGTACAATCTTGTTCGTGGCCTGGAATCAATCAACTTAATTTCAGGCTTTGAATTACTCTCATTCTCATGATTCAACGTATTCTCTTCTTGTTGTTTCTGTTGTCTACCGATCGTTTTGGCTTTATTTTTATGATTGTTTTTAACTGAACGAAATGAATTTCCTTTAAATGGATAAATAATTTGTTTATATATCGGTGCATTATAATTATTGTTATTCGAATTCATGATAGTATTACTGTAGTCGTTGTAGTACTTGTTGTTATTGATTTTATCATCATTATGATTCTGAATGCTCTCAGTTTGATCTTGACTTGATGAGTACAACTTAGTTGATAAAGAATCTTCTTGAATGCCTATGATTTGTTCTTTCGCATTCGAACTGGAACTTTGAAGTATATCCTACAGTCAAAAACAAAAAATTCAAAAGAAATAGAATTAAATATTTACATCAAGACAATGGACTACATATTTGGGAGAAAAATTCCTTGAAAATACACTTTCCGTAAGTTGATCGATCATCTAACTACAACTTTAATGTTATTCGTATAGGATATTAAGCAGTTTACGAAAGTATAGACTGAATAACTGCATTCACTAGTAGTTGAATAAAACTGAACCAATTCCGAATAAACAATTCGCTATTATGAAACCACAATGAAGTTTTTTGTCATTCAACATCCTATTTGGCTATTTGTTAGTAATTTGCTAGCATCCATAAAATTTTGAATTCATGCATTTGATTTGTTTTTTGTCAAACTGGTGCAGTACGGTACTTGTAAGCTGACCATGTGAGGCATCACATAGAAATGTGCGCATCACCACGCTAAGAGTAAAGCCAAGAATTCTAGAGCCTCAATATTTATTCACTTACATGACATCACAGGATATCTCGCAATATTTGATAGGTTGATTAAAACACAAACGGTACTTACTAAAATAGAATTTATCAATCCAAATGTTAAAGTGCAATGGTAATTTCGTTGGAATTTTACAACTTTACTTTGCTTCAATACTCAGCAACTTAAGATTGTGAAGAACTCTTTTCTTCACTTGGGTGACTGTTAACAGTGATCCGATAAACTGAATCATGCTTCGAATCCTACTGTCTAAATTTCAAACTAGACTGGTTGATAGCTCATTGTGATTGATCTGAGCAAATTTCATCCCACTATTTGAACTCGGAAATTGTAAATACAAAACGGAGAAACTACATAGTTTGAGGTTCGGTAAACTAAAGATTGAATGTGCCTTACAACGAAGGTCACCATGCAATATCGCTTTTGCTAGTTTCCGCAATTACTGCTGTCTGTTCACATTGAGTATACTGTTAACATATAAAGAATAAAAATCAAAAAACCCTATCCAGAATCGTCAGTATCGGCTTGAGTAATGTGAGACTCAAACCCATAAAATGTAATCTACAGATAAGCTTCACAGGTTGGAGAGAATAGTCAAATTTATCAAATACAATGTCAAGAGTTTGAAAGCAAGTACATGAATCAAAGCAGTTGGTTGACGTCAATCAGGACATCAAAGTGCAGAAACTTAGCAAAAATAAAGAATAGTAAACTCCAGTAATATAATTAACGCACAGAAAAAACGACTGATTGCTGTAAACGCACTGACTCAATCATGCCGTATAGCTGGGCAAGGCAACAGTAATAAATATAATATATCTAAAGCCAGTGAGATACTGGTTACTGTATCTTTGTCAATTGAATCAGTATTCAATGCCCTTGGTCAAAGTGGTTCATTGCTTAATGCAGACACTTTGAAAACTTCCTTATTACTGAAAATAAAAGTTTCAGGAGCACCGGGCAATAAAATTACGGTTAGAAAGTTTCGAGATTTCCACTATATGATAATGAGAAATAAATTGTCCTCGAAATGTTATTTAGTGAATTAAACTGCACTAATCTGACGCAGAATCACATTCTAGTGTAGTATCTAAAGGACATTTTTCAAAATTAGTGAAGAGATTAGTCAGATGTCATCATAGGAATAATTCGTATTCTCTTAGTTTCATCCAAAGGCAAATATGACGAAATTCAGAAGGATGAATTGGCCAAAAGTTTTGAATTAACCCAATGAAATCAAACTAGAGATCAATAATCCTAAGTACTTATAAAATTCATGACTATAATTCACATTTAACATTCATGAAGCCCAATAAAATGGGTAAGTGTTTTACTCAAAACCCTACTTAAATTCGAACAAAAATGTTAAATTGGCAGTTTTAGCCTTTATTTTCATCATACACTTTCAAATGATTAATTCAATGGGTGTAAGCTTAAAGAGCCGTCAAGAAACAATTTGTCCTAAATAAAGTGTGCGTTATTAAATAATGACGGGGAATATTTGTACCTCAGAAGGATCATGTTAATGGTATTGTGTTCTCTAAGCTGGATGGTTTAGTCGTGAAGCTTTCATTATCATCGTGGGCAGTATCCTTAGCACAAACTTCAGGAAGAATAAAATTGTGGAATTCGTTTCAAAAACATATTTCTAAATTACAAAGCTGAATAGGGTCTGTGAGTGCATTCAAATAGTATCGTTTATGACTTTTCATGTCCAAAATCCCGGAATTTTCAGAAGAACAAATTACTTTGAACCGGCAAATTCTTATCTGATTGCACACAAAATAAAAAACGCTAAGAGTGCTTTCTAAATGTTACCGGTATGGACTACACAACCCTATATTTTGTAAAACGTTTGGAAACAAACATCTCAAACACTGACAGAAACAATGACAATGTTTGTCTAGTTAGCTCTATAAAATCTCCAACGATCCAATTTTAAGCTCTACTTACAACAAACGTATTATCTACTGACTTGTACCACGAAATCACCGAAAACACAATGGAAACCATGTCAAAGCAGCTGTAGACACTATATAACTAAACACCTTGTCAGGTAACTTAAAAGTAAATAATTAGTCGAGTATACTGACCTGAACTAAGGGGCTATTTACTTACGACAATATATAAAGTCTTCTTGAATGATATAAATTAAGGATTATAAGAAAACAGAAATATCTACACTGTGAAGACTATCAATAGTTCACAACATATAAATTTAGACAGAAAGTAAGAAAAAAGCAACATTAAACATCTGGTTTTTCTGAGCAGCTGAGTGGAATAGGATGCAGATTACTTTCTCTTAAAAGTATTATTCATATAAATACTACCTGAAAGTTATTGTAAGTACCAAATCTATGAGGTAACGTGGAGATCTACCTAAACAATGTTTAAAAACAGGTGTCAGAACAAAAGCAAATGAATTAACTGTATGTGTGCTTACAATACATATCGCCAATATTGCTATCCTCACTGAAGTGTAGGATTTATGTGAAGCAGTTGACAACACCAACAGCTTAGTTTCAATCCACCAATGACAATGTGTGAGCGTGCAGACACTTTCATATTCATTTCAGTAGAAAAAAAAGGTATTAAAAACGTTTCAGTTCACGTGTTGTTTTAGGTGAAGAACAGAGGGAGGGAGAGGAAAATGCCATCAAAAGGTAGGCTAATAATCTTAAATGAAATATTTAGAAAGTTCCAGTAAAATATATTTCTAAATTAGTGATATAAAGTACAGATTGATTTAGTTACTGGTAAAGATCTGCTATCCAACAAATATGCATACATATACTTTGTCAATCACTGCTATTATAAATAGTCTAGTGAACAATTTATCGCTTACTCCATTACTCCTGTTACAACATAATTTGATTGAGGAACTAAACCGTGATTGATTTGAAACTGTGGAAATTAACGGATGCTTTGGTAATTCTGATTTGTGTGTGTATGCACACTAAAATACAATGTTTGGAAATACGGTATATAGTTAATCTTTATTCCCTAGCGAGGAGAGGGAACCAGCAATCATAAAATTCCGTTACTTCATCTTTTAACGAAAACAAGAGAATCCATCACCAGCTTCATACCTACACTTCTGTTTTTTAATACAGTTTCGATTGAATTCATCCATTATAAATGGTGTCTAGTCTGTCTGACTCTTATTTAATCTGGTTGTAAAATAAGTGATAATCCGTTACACTGTACAGTGCTGTAAAATTCGCATAGGCAGCCTATACCCTCTAAACATTAGAGACAATCTGTGGGTACTTTGGAAGCAGTCACATTCATTTTCGCCAAGTTATGACAGACGGTTGATAGAAAATTAATTTATTTGTTTAATCTGGAGAAGTACCCAATTACGTAAGCTGCACATTCATATGAAGTCCATTAATTACAACTATGATAACAAAATCATGGCACAGCTGTATGTGCTTATGCAATAGGAAAGTAGGTTTTTCATAAAATACGATTAATTTCATTATGCTAGCTTACTTAAGGATTCCACCATAAATTACAGCAACTAAAGAGTATAAAAGAGATTTCATCATGTATTTTAAATAGCGATTTATCTGATTCATCAGTTATTATCCATCCAGATGATATGGAATAAAATAACAAAAACGTAAAAATTGCCCAGAAACAGGCTCTTTATATTTTTGAAATTTTTTGAGTGTGAAGTTTGCAGTTAAAAAATCAACTCTGCTTTCAATAATTCAAATACTCTACTGTTAGCGGTTTTCAGTGGAATATCTCAACCACAGACCCTCAGATCAATAGCAACGCATGTACCACAGCATACTCATAGAATAGAGGAATTAAGTTAAACGCATAGCATCAAGAAATGCAAAACATGGTTGAAGTCACTTCTGTTCATGGATAAGTTTAAAATAAAAGTGTAGTTACTTGCAAAACAGTTTGTTTCATTTGTCGTTAACAGACTGTAGACAATTAAATATGTACTGAGTAGAAAAACCATAGAATATTTTGAAATGCATACTACGTTACTAACGTATCTTTTCTCATCATCTTGTAACCCACGTTACCAAAAATATCAATCAGGATACCTCAAGGTACCGAAAATATCTTTCTGGAATAACAACTGATCCACACTGTTTCTGAAATTTATGACAACAAAACTCTATGAAGATACTAGTTTCATATTTTTGGACTTTAACAACATTTAATAAGTAAAAAACTGTTCATTGAAAAGAAATTGGGATATCAGTAAAATGTATAACTTTCCGATGGCTTGCTGTGAAGTCATCCTAGACTAGCTTATGTACTTGTGCATTTGATTCACTTGATAAGTATACACTTGAGAAGGGCCGAAAAAGTATTGCCAAAACTGTATGCATAAATTTTTTTCAATTTTTCTGCCCATTTTAAATGCCAATATCTTCATTCTAATTCTCGTATTTAAACAAAACCACTAAAGGTCAACAAAAATGCCAGTTACCCAATAGAAATACTGATGAATTTCCATTACGATTCTCAAAATCACTCCCGAATAATAACTAAGACCTCATTCTATCCAAGATA